GGGCTCTGAGCAACCTGATCTAGTTAGCAGTGTCCCTGCTCCTGCAGGGGGGTTGGACTAGATGACCTCTAGGGGTCCCTTCCAACCCAAAACATTCTATGATTCTATGATTCTATGAAGAAAAAAATTTTTAGTGTATTCGGTTACAAAATTGTTCAATTTCAAACTCAAATGTGAGTCGAGAAAAGTCCAAGCAAATACATCCTCTCACCATTGTAGTTCTAACTTTGGGTGAATTGGTGCTTTGCATGAATCCCGTGGTACATTAGTGACAAATTTTTAAAAAAAAAAAAAAAAAAAAAGTCACTTTTTTTTTTTACAGACTCGCCTGTAACATCAGGAAGAAATTTGCACAAAGAATGTGGCTACAAAATGGCCAGAACTGAACAGCTTGCTAATCTGTTTAGGGTAATTAATCAGCAAATATCTTGCCTTTGCAACTGGCCTTTGTGCTTTGTATCTAGAACAAAACAAGACAGACGTTTGCTGTGTCTATGGGAGTAGAGGTGGGGTCTGAACCTTGCCTTCAGGACGGCAGTGGTTGTACGGAGGGCTCAGAGCTGCCTTCAAGGAGAAGCAGCAATTCTTCAAGCAGAATAAATGCTTCAGGATAGGATGCAGAAGTGTGGCTGGTTGAATAGCGTGGAGGCACTCCTCCGAAGCATAAGGACCCCTTGGGGATCATTACAAGCTGTTCCACTAAAAGTTGTCTGAACCTGCAATGAATTACTTGTTAGTTACTTGGCTCAGAGGTGATGTTGCAAGACCTAACGGTGTCTTGGGGTGCATTTTCTGTATCTGGCAAGAGCATGATGTGGTCCAGTCTGACCCATATATCCTTTTGCTGCCATCCATGAAGCGACCTGCTTATCTTCCAAAATTGTAAGGCTCAGATTTAAATGGGAGAAAAAGCAGCAGGCCAGAGTGCTAGTTCCTATTGGAAATCAAATCCAAAAAGACCTTAAGGACTTTCAAGGGTTTACAAAAAGGAGCCATACTTCATTGCAATAGGCAGATGTTTTCCATATGTTGTTCAAGTGAAACTTAAATATATTGAGGCAGGCATGTACAGCAATGTGAAGTTATATATTTTGGTATGAGCCTGGGCTTCAAATTGAATTATGCACAGACATCTTAAGAAAATGTGCGAGAGAGGGTTTTGCATATCTTTGTCTGTCTGCAGTTGACTCTCTCTGGCTCCTTTCTATTCCTGGAAATGGCATCCTTAACTATTTATGTGCAAATTTACTGTCATGCACATTTAGTTCTCTTAATAACCAACTATTCTTTCCATATGCTACTTAT